ACTTCGGATTGGCTCGCTCCGTGCTCACTGCCGATCAGGACACGGGCTTCATGACCGAGTACGTCGCTACCAGGTGGTATCGCGCGCCCGAGATCATGCTCACCTTCAAGCAGTACACCAAGGCGATCGATGTGTGGGCCGTCGGATGCATCCTGGCCGAGATGCTCACCGGCCGCCCGCTCTTCCCTGGCCGCGACTATCATCAGCAGCTCTCGCTGATCCTCGATGTTCTCGGCACGCCGACGCTCGAGGAGTTCCACAACATCAACAGCCGTCGCTCGCGTGACTACATTCGCTCCATGCCCTTGCGCAAGCGAAGAGACTTCCGCACCTTGTTCCCCAAGGCTTCGCCCGAGGCGATCGACTTTCTGCAGAAGACGCTCACCTTCGACCCGCGCAACCGCCTCACGGTCGAGGAGTGCTTGCAGCACCCTTACCTTTCCGCCTACCACGACCCCGACGATGAGCCCGGCGCACCTCGTCTCGACCCCGACTTCTTCTACTTTGACATGCAGAAGGAGAGCATCACCAAGGAGGACCTGCGCAAGGAGCTGTGGTACCAAGTGCAGGAGTTCCAGCCTCTTCTTCGTTGAGAAGCTGGACTTTCCATCATGCGTCTAGCCTCCAAACGGCACGTTCTCCTCTGCAGTCGGAGCATCTATATCATGTCCCGTCTAATCCTAGCGAAGCCGACCTATTGACGCTTCGCGAGTAACCAGCATCTTCCCGTCCATACATGTCCTGCGTCTCTCTGCACAACAACCCAAGCATTCCATCATCGCGCACATTCGCCATATCATGCAAGCTCCGTCTTCGTTCATCATGCATCATGTTTCGCATCTTTGCCTCTTTCTGTTGTGTGGGCGTGCGACTGTGGCTTAGCTGTGGCTCGTTTGACACCTTGACATGGAGGGGCGTGAGAGTGGCGGAGTGTTTTCCCCGAAATCCGAGATTTCAAATGACGCCTCGGATTTTTTGGAGGAACTTCGCCTCTTTGGCAGGCGGGGGCTGGTGCTGAGTGTAAGAAAAATTTCCGGAAGCCTGACTGCAGAGTTGGGGTCTCTCAGGGTTCCATCTTCTTCACCGGCATCGACAACATCAGCCTTGAAGTTTTCTCTTTGCGCATCGCAATGGCGAAGACCAGCACCTCAAAGAAAGCGGGCGCCAGCTCATCGGCTGCCCCGGCCTCGTCTTCATCCTCAACCTCGTTGGAACAAGTGCAGGCATTGCAATCGGCGCTCTTGTCCTCGTCCGACCTCAATCCTCTCACCGACCTCCTCGCCTTCGCGAAAAAGCTCGCCAAGCTTGGCGCTCCGTCCTCGACCGAAATCTCGAGCAAGGCAAAGAAGGATGCTGCTGTTGCTGTTCACCGTGCTGTCCTCGTGCTGGTCCGATCCATGAAGTCGCTCAGCGCAGATGACAGGATCGCCTTCGACAAGGATGTGGACCAGGACGGATACCTTCTCCCCTATGGTGGCAAGGCAGGCAACAATGCGGCGGCTTCAGCGGCTTTGTCAACAAAGGCCAAGGAGGCGCAGAACAAGGTGTCTGACTGGATCAGGATGCGGTGGAATGAGACGGTCGAACTCCTCTGCGCTCTGCTCGCTCACGAGGTCGAAGCGCTTCGCCTGGAAGCACTTCAGATGATCGTCGAGCTCGAGACCTCCGCTTCCTCTTCTCTCACGCGTATCGCTGCCGCTTCGAAGGCTTCGTCCAAAGCAGGCTCGTCCAGCAAAGAATCGCCTCTCGCCCTTTCCACTACGCCAGCCCTTTGGTCGGCATCGCCGTGGCGTGCGCTGACTCTTGCTCTCATCGCAGGACCGCCTAGCCTTACCAAGCTCGGGCACGGCGACGCAGGCACGCGCTATCAGGTGGTGCGTGTGCACGCAGGTGTGCCTGAAGACGTGCGCGCCAAGTTCATCCAGAGCGGCCTGGAAGAGTACGACGACGTCCGCTTCGCCACGCTCCGCGAGATCAGCCTGGCGCTGCGAAAGCCCGCACCGAGCACTCTCGGCAATACGCAGCTACGCGCACACACGCTTGCGCTCCTCATCCGGCTCACTGCGGTTCCGACTTCGGCCGACGACCTGAACAACTTCCTGGTCGACGAGCTCTCGATTCCGCCGCTTGGATCCAGCGGTGGAAAGAAGAAGAAGAAGAAGGCTGCAGCTAGCGGCAAGGGCCTCTCGGTGGTGGATGACGGCGACTCGGATGATGGCAAGGACGAGGAGGAGGACGATGACATGACGGGCTGGTTCTCGGACTCGGACGACGAGGGTGGTGTGCGCGCCGGTGCCACGGAAGGCGAGCAGCGTCGCGCAGCAGACAAGAAGGCGGTCGGTGGACTGGGTGCAGCTGCACGCGCTGCTGGAGCATCTAAGCGCAAGAGGCGTACCTTGCACGAGATGGTACACAGCATCGGTGCCCAGCGCGGCGCGTTCTCAGCCGCCTGGCTCGACCTCCTGCTTCCTCGTCGCCAGACCGAAAAGTCGGCCGCTGCCGCCGGCGCAGCACCAGGCTCGCTCATCGGCGGTGAGCTCAGCCTCACCGCCACGCACGAGGTGCTGGTGCGACTGCACGCGCAGATCCTGCCGCATCTCAGCAAGCCGACGCTGCTGCACGACTTCCTGGTTTCCTGCCTCGACTCTCGCGGCGCCACGGCTCTGCTGGCGCTCAATGCGATCTTCACGCTCGTCACCAAGCATAACTTGGACTACCCGCAGTTCTACACGCGGCTGTACGCCATGCTCGACGCGTCGGTGCTGCACATGAAGTACCGCGCGCGCTTCCTGCGGCTGCTCGAGACGTTCCTCTCATCGACGCATTTGTCTGCGACGCTCGTGGCGAGCTTTGCCAAGCGACTCTCGCGGCTGAGTTTGCGTGCGCCCCCCGCGGCCATCGCATCGGTCGTTCCGTTCGTGTACAACCTGCTGAAGCGTCACCCGCGATGCATGGCTATGATTCACAAGGAGTGGGATGGCGACCGCCTCAACATCGGACCTGCTGGCGTCGACGACCCATTCATCCCTGACGAGCAGGACCCGCTCAAGACGCAGGCGCTCGAGAGCTCGCTGTGGGAGCTGGCGAGCTTTGGCGCGGCTGCCGTGGCCAAGGGCAACAGCGGCGGTCCTGCTATGGGCGGCGACGAAGGCAGCATCCTGCCTGGCGAGGCGCACTACCTCGGCTCCGTCACGAGTCTGGCACGCATCTTCGCTGAGCCATTCACACGCGAGCGCTACAACCTCGACGATTTCCTCGACATCACCTACGGCACGCTCTTCGAGACCGAGGCCAAGAAGACGCTGCAGAAGCTCGGCACCAAGCCGGACGGAACTCCTCGGCGTCGACCGGTGCCTGCGTTGGCTTACAGCCTGCCGGGCGGGTTCGGCGCGGGCGGATCGAGCGACAGCACGACGTGCAATCGCGTCGACATCTTCCCGTCGGAATCGGGACGCGCGAGGGCCAAGGCGTCGCTGGCTGCAGCCGAGGAGGAGGAGCAGCGCGAGGTGGAGCGCGAACGCGAGGAGCGCAAGCGAAAGCTCGGCGTCGACGGCGACGATGAAGACGACGACGAGCGCGAAGCGAGGGAGGCCATCGAGCAACTCAAGAGTGCCGAGCGAGCCAAGAAGCGCAAGGTCGACCAGACGGGCACCCACGATGCATGCGCCATGCTCTTCAGCTTTGCATGAGTGCGTCGGGTGCATAAGCTACAGCACTGCGCAGCAACGTCTCCGGCCCAACGCGGTCGCCGCACCTGTCAAAAAGCTCATCACGAATCGAATAATCGCATCGCCACTTTGAAGCGCGGCTGCGAAAATTGGAAGAGCGTAGCGTGGGATTTTCGGGATGAATCAGGCTTGTTGGCCCGGTGCTGCTGAGCGTCTTCAGAGCGCCTCTGGCTGATTTGGCTGTTGTGATGAAACGAGGTCGGATGTCGCCCAGACAAAGCAGTCGGTGGGGCCGTGCGTTCAAAGAGCGTGAGAATCCCTTTGTTCTATCTGCTGTGCTGAAATTTCGTGGCGAGACTGCTGTGATGTGAGGAAAGAAAGGTAGGCGTGGCTAAAAAAAGTCGTCATGCATAGGCTCTCAGCCCCTTTGTTGCGCTGCCGCTTCTGCCAGGGTGTGCTTCATTCAACACAGTGTAGGCTCAGGCCGGGCGGCGAGTATAAGTGCTCACAAAGCGCGCAGCGCCTTCCCTTTCTTCTTCTCCCACACCAGATTGCTTCAGCGGTAGTCATCTCCCCCCCAATTTTCTACCTTCACCGCCTCTGCAACGCTCGCGCGGTTGTATCGGCATCATGGCCTCGGCAGACGATCGGATGATGTTCCTACAACAGTTCCTGACGGCGCTATTCCAGCCGCCGGCTTCTCAAATGCCACAGGCCAATGACCCAGCCAGCTATGAGAGGAGCAGACGCAGCCAGGCAGAGGCAATTGCAAACCATTATCTCGACGCCGTGCACTTGGAGGCAACCGTCGAGGAAGCACTGGCGCCTGTTCCAACCCATCTTCCTCTTTTGCGCCTGCACGCCCTCACGCCTCGACAGGCAACCGACCACAACGTCCGCAAGGGTCTCTATATTGCCCACAAGACGCGCCAATTCCGCATCGAGCTCCCCAAGTACGATGACGACATTGTCGGACGCAAAGAGGCTTTGATCAAGTTCGGCGACGATTGTCTCACCTCTTTCTTTGGTCCCGACTGGGCCAACCCATCGGAGGATTCGGCCGCCAAGGCCACTCCCAGCAGAATCTACTCCAACGCTCCAGCATATCCGCCGGTCTCGTCCAGCTTTGGCCCGCCGCACACGTGCCCTCATGGTGTGCCTATCGCACCGAGCGGGCCAGCCCCGGCCATGCCTCCCGCTTCCAAGAATCCTAGTGCTCCTACACATGCAGCTAAAGCGGAGGTTACCCCCGTCAAAGAGGCAGCAGAGGCATCGCAGCATCTTGCTCATGACCTGACCGACTTTGATACCGATGACGAGTCTGACTACGACTCGGAGTTGGAAGAAGAGTTGATGCACGAATTCATGCAGGATCGCGGCTATTGGGACTACGACGATCTCGGCTATGGTAGCGACGATCCTTACGGCCTTGATTATTACGACGATCCTTATGGCCTCGAAGACGATCTTTACGGCGACGATCTTGACTATGATCCGACCAGCGACCCAAATTTCCTCGAATACTACTCTATGGGCTACAACTTCGACGAGGCCTTGGATGCGACAATCAATGCAAGAGCAGAGCGTCTTCTCGGTCCCCATCTGAGGAGGGAGATGATGATGAATGCCGCGCTCAAGAAGGGCGGGAAGGCCTCCAAAACAAAGACACGCGGCGGAGCGTCTACGAAGGCGAGCACGAGCAAGATGGGCACAACCAAGGGCCAAGGTAAAGGCTCCGCTGGGACGTCGCAGCAGCGCACCCCTGGAGCAGTCGATAGCGGTGTTGGCTCCAGCAAGGCCTCTAGTGCGAAGGATGGCTCGGCCACAGCCAAGAAAAAGGGCAAACGTAAGCGCAAAGGCAAAGGTAAAGCCAAAGCTCAAGGTCAAGAAAGCGGAGTTAAAGTCGAAGAGTCGCGTGTCGCCAGCAAGATCGAGGGAGTCAAGGCGAACCACACTGCAGTTCCAGCCTCGGTCGTCAAGGCGAGCGGCGGGAGTGGTCCCGCCACGGTGGTGAGTCAGGCGCCTGCCTCGTCATCAGACAAGGACCCCGCCGGTCTCCAAGTCCAGCCGGCTAGGCCCCAAACGATCAGCCTCGCGCACAAGCTGTCTTCGGAGACGGTGCAAGGCTCCCCCCGCGCTAGTGTTGCCTCGGTCGGCTTAGGGCTTGCTGGTTCGCCTGCTTCTGTCAAGCAGCCAGTCTGGCATCCAGTTCCTCACATCAAAGTCTCGCTACCAGCCGCTACCTCTGGCAACACCACCACCAGCCCTGCTCCGGAAGCGAGCACCTCGACGTCTTCTGCACCAAATGGTGCACCGACTGCCCCCAAAGGCCCGAGAGCGAGCACTTTGATTCCAACGGCCCGAGAAGGTGAAGCAAGTCTGACCTCCTCTGCGACAGCGCCGAAAGCTGCGGGGCAGACAAAGAGGAAGCGCACAGACACGAGCAACAACAGTGTCAGCAGCGCGGACAAGGCAAAGGCCTCAGCCAAAGTCGCCAAAAGCACTTCTGCTCAGAATACTGACAAGCCGAAGAAGCAGCCCAAGTTCGAGGTGTTTGTGTGGAAGAAGCGCTACCGCCCGAGCAAGCGGCCGTATCGCGATTGCTGGCACGCTCCCTTCCGGGCGTAAGCCGATGCAGAACTGCCCCTACCCTTGTCGCAGCATGCCTTTCTCGTGTAGCCCAGTCAAATCAAATTCAGTCAGCTCGAACAAGTTGATTGCGAGCATGGAGTGTGTACGAGTGTTCCTCGAAGTGGGTTTGGGAAATGCAGTGACGGACAGGTTCACTTTGGTGCAGTGGCGGACGTTGTCGCGGGGGCGACCTTGGTGCGTGGGGGCGGGATGGGGACTGCGCCGGGGAAGGGAACGCGCAGGTTCCAATTTCTCTCGAGGTGGAGCTGGACGTCTCTGACTTCGAGTTTATCGGCTCTGCGGTGTTTTGCGAGTCTACAAGCCATGGCGGTGACGGAGTCGATGAACTCATCCGCGAGTTCGAGCAGCAGATCCTCTACTGCGCCATCGAGTTTCTCTGTGCTGTCGAGCTCTGCGATGAGGTCGGCGATCTTCCTCTTTGTCAGGATGCCGTTTGAATTTTGGACGGCACTCGCTGCAGGTGCGGAGGAGGAGAGGACGGCAGAGGCTGTTGCGACTGCAGCAGAGGCAACGTCGGCGGACGGATCGTCACCCGCTGGCAGGCCGAGAAGCTCGTCGGCGGTAGCAAGGGCTGGACGCGAGGGCAGACCCAGCAAATCGTCGAGCGCAGTATCGTCGGAAGAGCCCGGACCGGTGGGATTCGGACGCGTCAGGATCGCGGGTGTGCCGATCACAGGCGCAACACCCAGTCCTTGTGTCATACTCGCGCGCGGGCCGGAGGGGTTCGGATACGGCTCGGGCGCGCTGCTCGTCGACACATTGAGGACAGGCGGAATGGCAACGTTCGCGTACGACGCTGCAGCCGCAGACATGGCCGTAACAGGTGTGCCACCGAGCGTGGCTGCAGTCGGCGTTGTGGCTGTCGCACCCGCTGGACCCGGACCAGGCACGGGCACACCAGGCCTGGCACCTGCTGCACCTGCCGAGGGAGTGGCGGGCGTCGATCCG